ATCACTTAGAAATATTATCTATGTTAGAGAGCGGAAAGACATGATTAATTTTTACACGGTAAAGTGACAATTTTAATATGATAAAAGTTGTAGCGTTTTTTTTAACGAATACAACGATGTATGATATAATTCGGCCACATCGCAAGGCCGAAATTGAAAAGGCAATAGCTGCCCGCAAAATTTTAAACCAAAATAACTCTTATAATTCGTAAAATAATTTCGTTATATCATACATCGTTGTATTCGTTAAAAAAATGCTACAACTTTTTATCATATTAAAATTGTCACCTTATCGTGCAAAAATTAATCATGTCTTTTCGCTCTTTAACGTAGATAATATTTCTAAGTGATCTTTCTGCTTACAATAAAGTTTAGTCAGAGCTGTTTAATTTAATATTATATTTATTAGGCCTATCTCTATTAGTTTACGAGATAAAAAGGAGCCACTTATTCGGGAACACTCTGTATATGTATATATATATTTTTAACAATCATGCTTTATTTATATCAATTATCGCTTATCATATCATTTTATGCGTAAAAGTATTAAAATAAAGTTATTTATAATGAATAATAAAGTGAATATTTTACGAGCATTTCATATTTTACGTCAAAGTTAGAATAAAATATAAAATAGCTTATAAATTATCAATTTTTAGATAACATTATCTTTATTCTTTTATATGCATAATATGGTATATTTAGAAAAATCGATTTATGTACAAAAATTTTGTTTAAAAAAATATAGATGATCTCAATGATTATGAAAAATTAAAAAGTTTTCTTTTGTTCTATTAAATATCATATTTTACATGAAAAATTATGAAAAGATTACATTTAGTTATATTTTCACATCTTCAATTGTTTAGCTATAATTTCTATAATTATTTTAAACGGCACTTATCTGGAAACATCCTGTATATACACATATCTTATATTGGACGACAACATTACACATTATAATATTTTAATATTAAATATTAAAAAAATTTACAAGACATGAAAAATTGTACATGGATAATTTTTGTTCAGATTACTATAAGGACATCGAAATTTGGACCAACTTTAGTAATTTTAAGTACAGAAGCCAGCGGAGGATATGTCTTAGGTTTTCGCGTCAATCCCTTACAACAGCTTCATATTACTCATAAAGAAGTATCAATATTTCGTTCAGAATTTGAAAAATTTCCTATTTTTGGTGTGGAATATACGTTTGAACATCAGGTACCTTATGATATATAATTAATATATTTTATCAATGTCGCAAAGCTTGAAGTTCATCAGTCAAAAGTAAATACAATCGAACATTTGACCGATACTTTCTCTCTTTGCGTATGCTCTTGTGATATTATAATCTATGAGAGTATGGTTAATTTTTAATTATATTTTAAATTTACCTTTTATAAAATGACATTTTTTAAAGGACATATTGCGGTTTATTTAAAGTTATCAATGAATAAATTTCTTGCAATAATGATAGTATCATTATTCATTATAGGCACCTGCACAAGAGGACGTTAGTGTAGAACACTTCACTGAGATACAAGATAATCAAGCTGAAATATCAAATATATTTGGTTATTATTTCTCTGAGGGAGAAACAGGTCAAAGAAAGCCAAATTTTTCAATTCATTTAGGAGTCGCGGCAGAAGAGCCAAGAGAAGGCAGCACGTTACAGAGTTTATGGGAACTTGTACCATCATCCGTCAATTAAATTTCTAGCTTAATTATTTCAAAAAGTTTAAATTTTCTACATTAATGTTATAAATAATGATAAATTACATGATGCTTCCTTATTATCTTATAGGGAATAAAAGTAAATCCATTTTATACAAAGAGATATAACATGATATATTATTAACTACATCTTATAAGACTTGAAATATAATTTTTGTTTAAGTTTTTCGCATTTATTAACAACATATTCACAATGCCTGGTAAATAAGGTTTTATCTTTGACCTTACAAAGATACTCTTAGACAAAGAGGCTTAATAAATTATTACACAACAAAAGTGCTTCGAGATATATTGGTGAAAGAAGAAAATAAATAATTAAGATTGAAATAACAGTGTAATAGATTATAAATATGTATGTTGAGATAAATTCGCATATTATTCACTGTTAGTATGTTCTTTTTGTTTCTTGCAAAATTTAGCTTGGTCTACAATTCAAAGCTTGTGTTATCGGTTGATCATGCTGATCTTCACTGTCTTCATCGCTAAATTCGTGCTGAGGTACGGGAAATCTATATCCCATGTTCATGAGCATTAATTCAAACGGATCGCTGTTCATACGTATTTGATTGGCTGATGCGGCATCATCTAGATTCTGAATTTCTCTTTCATTCACACTACCATCCTGCAACATTAAAATTAAATTAAATTAATAGAATTTGCAATATTTTACATGTTGTATTCTTTGTATTAAATAAATTTCTGTTTAGTTCCTATTATGCATCTGAAAATTATTAATATTTATAGTATATACACGTCCTCCTTTCTCTCCGATACACACGTGCAATTTATTATGACATAACGGTCTGTACACGTGTAAAATGAGTTTATATATTGGTTTATTTGAAATAACATTAATTGAAACGAAATTTCTCTTTAGCACGTATATTTAGCAAAATGTTTTAGGTATCGATTTGAAAAATACGATTGCGTTCAAAAGTGTGTGTTCGTGCGTGTGTGTATGCGTGTGTGTGTACATTGAATTGCTCTAGCTGTATTGAACTGTGAACAAATATTTTTTCCTATCTAAAAAAGTGCATGTAAAGTCGATAACTCGTATGTCTCGAAATTATTTGTTGTCGCTTTTCCGCGATGCTGATTGGTTGTCTCGCTGCGCTAACTTCGTGTAAGCGGCTGTGTCATTGCATTTTGTCAGTTGTGTATATTAAGGTTGATGTTATTGTAAATTATAATAAGAAGTGTTAAATAGCGCGCGCGAAGTGCGCGTTTGTAGTGTTAGTATAGATAAATTTTACACAAAAAGATTTGCAGAGAAAAAAAAGTTTAGTTTATTATACAAAAACTAGGGTTGGGTAATACCTAGTTAAAAAGTTAATTTAAAAAGTTAAAAAGTTAAATAATTTTAACTTAACTTAATTACATATTAGACTCTTAACTTTTAACTTAACTTAGTTAATTTTTGTAACTATTAATTAAAATAGTAATTTTGTAACTATTAACTTATAATATAACATTTTTGAAGTTAACTATAAATAAAGGCGTCATAAGACGCCGCACACCTGCCTACAAGTAATGACTTTTGGGCTGCGTTTAGAAACTTCGTCTAGGTGCATCTGGATATTATTTTATTCTTGTTTAACATTCAGTGAATAACAAGGATAAAATAATGTACCGTGAATTTCTGAACTATCGCAGCCCTGTGTTCATTGGGTATCGCGTGTCACGTGCGACAAACATCGCGCTGGTGTGTAAATTGTGCAGAAGACATTTGGTGTGTCAAAGTAATTAGTCTCAAGTCTGTGATTACAGAAATTATGGAATCGCGGAGAAACGTAAAAAACTATTAATGTTATTTGTAAAATTAAAACCCTGAAATCAAGAAATAAAAAATTTATCTTTTAACTTTTCAATTACTTTTTTTTATTAACTTAATTTTTTTTATTAACTTAATTCAATTAATTTCATTATGGATTAACTTGTAACTTAACTAAGTTAAATTTTTAGGCTGTTAACTTTAACTTAACTTAGTTAAAAAAAAATTAACTTACCCAACCTTGACAAAAACTAGTCGAAAAATAATTTTTTTAGTTTAAAATATTAAAAATAAAAAAAAATGAAATTGTAAAGTATTTTGATCCTTATTCGTAATCCTACACACGCACGCACGCGCACGCACACACACATACACACACGCGCGCGCGCACACGCACACACGCACACGCGCACACACACACACACACACGTACGCACGCACAATAATAAAAGATATGATTTACCTCTGGCCATGGACTCCATAATCTAATCACTGGATCAATGCCACTAGTAGCTAATAAGCACATAGATGGATGTGGTTGTAAGCAATTAACGATTCTTTCGTCTCCACGCAACACGCGTACGATATTGGTAGTATTACGATCCCAAATAAAAAAAGAACCATCATCTGATCCAGCCACTATATATTGACCATTGCTTAAAAAATAAATTAATGTTACAATGATTTTGGAAATTGAAACAAAATTAACTATTGTAATTATATCACTGTTTACAAATTGCAAAGAAAAAAGCAGTACAATCGACTTACTTTCCAAAGAAGTTTGCCTCCTTTATGTCGGTTGTGGTATTACAATGACCACAAAATCTCATTTTGTAGTCGATTGTATTATGCCTCCATTCTTGCTCATATTCTGATAGTGGAAGGAACGTCTGCCTAGTTTGTGTGATATCTTTTCCTAACAGATAATATGTAAAAATAATTTTTTAAATAAATATTAATAATAAAATAAGATACTTAACAGACTATCATGCATTTTGTAGAATTATTAAATGGATCCAATAATACTTAAAATGCTTTAATTATATAAGCATTTGAATAAGCCTAATATTATTTGTATAATTTATTATTATCCGTATATATGTATATATATGTATTTTATTGCACAAAAATATATAAATATATATTTCTGTAAAATTATAATTTTTATTTTTGAGATAATTACTATAGTGTAAATAAAAAATTATAAGAAAGCAATTTTGCAAAGATATATTTTTGCGCCAGATCACACATGCATGCACAAACATGTCATATTTTATGATAAAAAATAAGTATCTTTTCTGTTTGACAAAATTTCTAGAAATATATTATTTTCAAGATTCCATTTTTTAAATATATCAATACAATACATTCAACATTTTTTATCTAAAAATTTTTATAATTCTATTATAATTAAATCTAATATTTACATCTTTATAAAATATGTAAAAAATTTTCTTTTTAACTAACGGATTACGCGCGCGCGCGTGTGTGTACAGTCGCGACACTTTTTTTTCATAGGTTCCTAATATATATTTAATATACATAATATATACTTTATAGATAGCTAATATTTTGCAAATGCGAACCACGATGTACTATCTTTAGTCTGGAGACAGTATAACACCAATCCGTTCGCATTTGCAAAATATTATAGTGCGTTTTGAAACCTATAAAAAAGAAAGTGTCGCAACCGATGTGTCCATGACTGTACCTACTATGTGGACGTACATACATGGCCACAGAGTAATGAATGACTTTATGTAAGCGATTAATGAATAATAATTTGATTCTCGATTATATTTCTTAATTTTACAAGTTTATTGGAGAATTGAAACTTGTGAGTGGAGTATATGAGACTGATTAGTAACTTACTTCGGAACATATTTCATGTAAAAAACGCATGCACAATGTTTATAAGAACATATACCTATGTATAAATATACATACAATATTGTCCGCGGAATATTTGAACAACAATAGACCATAAAATTAACACTACATTAATTTAAATTTAGATTTAACATTAATTTAGATTAAATAAAATATTTATATGCAAATAGATTAACTCAACTGTTCAAATAACAGCAATAGTATATATTTTTATAAGATAATTTTAATCTTATCGGTAGTATTAATGTGAACATGTGTGTATACAGGGTGTCCCGAAATTCACGAATCAAAATATCATAGCAAGAAAGTCTTCAAAAAATTAAATAAAAAAATTATTTGTAAATTTTTATTTTAAGCAGTAGTTTTTGAGATATAAGAATTTAAATGTAGCCAATTATAGATTACGATTAAACGGAAACATGTTCGTGAACGCGTCAATAGTGTTAGTGATTGCGTACTTCCAGGCATGCCGCCAACTCAGTGCCCCCATAAAAGTGAGAAAAGTGAGTTTTGTGTTCGAAAAAGTGAGAGAAAAGTGAATTTTTCATTAAAATAGTGAGAGAAAAGTGAGATTTTTTAACGCTGAGCAACAAGCTAGTTTGTTCAAATCTCTTTAAAATTGTATAGAATGGTACCTAAGAATTGGCATTTTATTTTATTATTTTAAATATTGTTCTGTGGCGATGATATTTTGATTATTTAATATTGTATTAAATTTGAAGGCAAACATTTTTGAGTTTTAAAAACAATATTGTTAAGAATATTTTAATACGTTCGACAGGAAAGATGTACTTCAACTGACAATATCTAAATTCAGAAACTCAAACAACTCAAACAACTTAGGAATGAAACAAGAATATCTGGAGACAAAGTTAATATTTTTAAAATAAAAAAAAATAAAAATAAAAAATAAAATTAAACCTCTGGAAACAAGAATAAGATATAATCGTCAAACACTCGAACAGAAGAGCATTAACCCGTTTCATAGTGATTAAATTTACGGTTTTCTACACAAATTTTAAGTTCACTGTTTCTATAGGAAGTTTGACAACGAATATTTGTGTTGCTTTCAAAAAAATCGGTATTTATCGAAAAATAACTGGAAAACAGGTTTTATTGACTTTTTTAAGAGAAACAGAAATGTGCGCTTTCAATTGTCATGTAGAAAAGCAGAAAATAATTTTTTAATAATGTTGTAAAATTTAATCGCAATGGTCTAATAAATTTGTTACATTTGACAATACACTTATTTTGTTTTTATTTTCAAAGTTTTAATTAATATGACAAGCTTCATAACTTCATTTGTCATATTACATTTTATACCCTACTATAAATGAATAGAGCTTGTATGCACGGTGTCAAAAATGCCTAGCCATCTGAATTTGCAGTATGTATATACATACATACGGTGCAGCATACATTTCTTTATAATTAACGAAGAAAAAGTATAAAGAAAGCTTATTCAAATCAACAAATACGCACGAGCGTATTAGCAATATTATTATAGCAGTACATTTAAAATCTGTAATGTCACAGAAGAAAATAAAGGGTGGATCCATGAAGTAAGAATACTTCATGGGTAGATCGCATCGAACATTCGGAACGTTCTCGACGTTATATAGGATTTTAGAAGTTAGTTTCATGGGCAGCTCCATTTTTTTCCAATCATATGTGACGAAAGATTCAAATCATTCAAATTTATTCAAAGAAAAGGGATAAAGAAACACAGGAAAATATTTATAAAATGTAAAACTTATTAGATATAAATTATGATAAATACAGAAATAATAGAATTTTAGCAAAAAAGTGAGAATAGTGAGTTTTTACTGAAAAAATGAGCAAAAGTGAGTCTTCTTCAAAATAGTGAGTCAGCGGCATGCCTGCACTTCACGCGCATACTAATCTATAATTGGCTAAATTTAAATTCTTAGATCTCAAAACTACTGCTTAAAATAAAAATTTACAAATAACTTTTTTACTTAATTTTTCGAAGACTTTCTTGTTATGATATATTGATTCGTAAATTTCGGGACACCTTGTATAGGTATATGTATATATATACATACAGAATCTTCAAAAAGTCCGAAAAAGGTCGAATATCTCGAAAATAAAACATTTTTGAGAAAAATGTTTGAGACAAAAGTTGTAGGGTTTATAAGATCTATCTAGTGATCACATCCGTTTGACCTTGTCACCCAAGGTCAGGTGACGGACACACTAATTTTTTTAAATGAAACACCTTATTTTTGATTCAAGAATCTGATAGCTAATGCCAAAAGTTATTATAGTGCTTTCTAAAGTACCGTAATAAAATATTTTTTGGTTAAGTAAAACTCGAGTTATAAAGTTCGAAAGTTACAGTATCGCCGGTATTAGCATTATCCAAAGTGTCCAAACAATGGATTAAACCTTTTGAATGTTGTTCAGGATCAT